GGATCCTTTATAATTTACCTGGAAATACCTCTTGTTGTCCAAACACCTAAACTGAAGCTTGGGAATACCCCAGAGGAAAAGATACTGTCCATAGGGTTGTTTTTAAGAAATACAACACTTCTTCCCCCCACCACCCACCCCTGCCAAAAAAAAGGAGATTATTTAAGAGTAACTCTCATGACAGTTAGCAAAAGGACATATTTCACTTCGCAGATTTATTAACTGTTCATTCTGTTTGAATTCATGTGCACACACACCACATATGTAAGATGACACAACTATAACTAGTGGGTGGAGATGTGACTATGGCCATGCCATTTGACCTCTTTGTCTTCCTATTTCTTTCCATGAAAAGTGAGGGGGTTGAAATAGGTGATAGCAGTGTTTCTTTACAGCTTTGCAAACTCCAGAGAATCCAGGAAGAGCTGCCTTCTTAAAAGCTGCCTAATTTTCGGAGCTCTAAGAATATAATAGGGCTTAAAAGAAAATAATGGGAAGCTTAGAAGGGAAAAGAAAATGGAAATCCCCTTTGAAAAAATGGTTTAACGGAATCTCTCTTAGGCTAAAGCATAGACACATCAATCAGGATATTGGGGAAGTCTATGGGATGGAATTATATAGGAATATCTTGTGGTGTTTTGTGATAAGATGTGAGTGCACTTTATGGCAGGAAACTGGAAGCAAAACTTCAACTGTCTTCTAAATTCAGCAGGGAATCCTATTCTAAAAAGTTGACCTTGGTAAGAGCCCCAGACTGGATGAAGTGTTGGGTGCTGACTCATCAGGCTGGAGCCAGCTGTAAGGGTAGGAAGGACTTGCTTCTAAAGAGGTAGACACCTCTCTGGAAATAATTCATTTATTCTTTTAAGTAACAGGAGAGACAAAGCTTAAATGGTTGTCCTTCTTTTGCATCTCAAACAAGCAAATAACTAAACTCTTCTGGCTTAGGCCAGTTTGATCCCACCTTGACTATGCACATTTAGGGAACTGAACACACTTTCTGGAGATCACAGCTCTCTACAACTTTGTGGTGAATCAATAATTGAGGCACGCCTCTTTGTATACTTTGTCTCAGAAGACATATATCTCAGATCTCACAAATCACATCTCAGAATTTATTCAATGCTTTGGAGCTTAAAATATTTTTTTCAAAAATAATTATGTTTCCATATGGTTTATATGTCAGTTCTGAAAGTTGACATCTTCTTGAAACTATGAGATGTCTTTCGATGATTTAGTCAGGTAAAATTTGTCATCAAGTAAAATTTGTCATCACACCAAATTTATCAATGTAATATAAAGTTTCAGTGTTTCAATAAAACAATGGGACTTGAATGGGTACTTTTTCCCCCTGAAAACATCCACTCTAAATCCTGCCTCCTAAAACTGTTGCTTTATTTTGTTTCAGCTTTAACCCTTAAAAATAGTAAAAGAACAATCTTACTTGGAATGTTCATTAGTTTAACAGCAGGAGTCAAGTTAATCTCCTTCAAACCCATATTAGACTTACTTTACAGGGTTTAAGATGTTTTAAAAAAGAGGTCTTTTAGAAGAAGCAGTGTTGATCTAGAACTTGGAGTCTCTTGGGAGCACAAACAGAGCTCAGACTGAGAATGAGTCTGCCACATTTTACTGAATCAAAAGTCAGCTCTCTTCTAACGTGACCTTGGGAAAGTAATTTTTGTCATCCTGGGATACAGATATACATGATAGAGGGCAGCTGCACTCATTATAAATATCTTGTAAGGTAGGCAAAATGCTGCACTATAACTCCGGTAGCCAGAAAGCCAGGAGAGAGAGGGCTTTTGTGACCTTTCAAGAATAGTCTGTTCACCCCAAGGAGTCCTGAGTAATTAAAACAGAGGGTTAGCACTTCTCACTGGAGGGATCAATTTACTCTGAACACCCCAAAGCGTTTCATCACTTGTTCTGGTCTCTGGCTCTGGACAAGGGAGGGTGGAGCGTGGGAGACCCATATTCAGGGTGGGATCAAACTGGCCCAACCGGTGAGGGGGTGGGTTAAAGAAGGAGCGGTAATCTGAGAAGGAAAAACAAAAATAGAGTGGGGGATAAAGTGAGGAGAGAAAGAAGAGCAGGCGCTGGGAGGCCCTGTGGCACTTACTGGCAACCCTGTGTTCCAAGGCCTCGTGGAGGGCAGATGGCTATTTGCGTCTGTCCTGTTTTAGTAGCAGATCCTAGCGTGGCCCCAAGGGAGGGTGCACACACTGGCCTTGACCACCACTCCCCATGTCATTTTCTTTCTCAAGAACCTGCAGTGACTCTCACCCTTCATTTTGCCTTTTCCGACTTTCGGATGTTCAGCTCCACTCTTATCCTTCCCATGAGAGTTCCAACTCTCCCTCCAACTATATTGTCCAGGCAGGCTGCTCCCCTTCCTCTAAGCCCCACACCCTCATTCCCTTTCCTCTTCTACAACTTTCTCTCTTCTCTTCCAATGAACATATCTAAAACACATCTATCATCTTAGGCCAAGACATAATTCATTTCAGAATAGCAACTTAGATTGCATAAAGTTTTATACCATGCACAAACATGCACTGTCCTCAACTGACTCACTGTTTCCTGGGATGTTTCCTTGACTATCTTGGCCCTCATCCATCTCTCCCATATTCTATCTCCTGGAGCATCTGTTTGCTGACCCACCTTTACAGAATTTCTCTGTAGAGAGGGAAGGCTGTCGGAATCTACATTTTCAACAAGCTCCCCCAGAGGAACTGAGAAGCTGGAATGAACTAAGGAGGCAGAATTTTAACTTTGGCTGTTTATTTTATATCTTTCCATATTGTTTCTACATTTTAACCATGGTCATATACACCTTTTGTAATAAAAATTAGTGGGGGTGCATATATATTTGTTAAGCTCTCAGAGAATTCTGATGGTGTAGGAACCATAGGTTCCCACAGTTGTTTGAACAATGACGTGGACACATGCCTTCTTTCATTTCTCAGCTCTTCAGTGAGGTCGACAGCTACTGAAGAGCAAGAACTAGTTTCATGTTTTTCCTATCTCTCCAATGCTAGAAATTCCAGGCTCAAAGCAGGTGCTCAATAGGTACTCAAATGGGTTTGAATAGACTCCCAATAAAATAGGAGAGAAATTAAATAAGGATACACATGACGTGGTACATTTGAAGAAAAAAGAAAACTTTACAATTAGTAGGTTAAAGAAAGATGCAATAGTAAGACAAAAAAAAGTATATACTTAGGTGACTTAACAGACCACAGGATGACCACAGATCAGCATCAGTGTCGTGTTTTTGGAACTAGAAATGTAGGATCTTCGAAGGCATCAGTTAACTTGTAGCTTGACAAAACCAAGAGGTTTCGTTTTAATCTGGCTCATTCTTATAAGTGAACACAGTTATGAATTCTATAGCTAAAGAAATCTGAGTAGTTGGGAAGAGTTAAGAATCAAAACTTACATACTTTGCTGGTGGAAATGCAAACTAATACAGCTTCTTTGGGAAACAGTCTCACAGTTCTTCAAAAAGTTAAACATAGAATTAGCATATGGGCTAGCAAATCCACTCACAGGAATTTACTAAAGGGAATTGAAAACACATATCCATACAAAATCTTGTACAAATGTGTTCATAGCAGCATTTTTTAAGACTGGCCAATGAATAACCATGATAGATGAATAATGGCTCAGATGGTAAAGAATCTGCCTTCAATGTGGGAGACCCGGGTTCGATCCATGGGTCAAGAAGATCCCCTGGAGAAGGGAATGGCAAGAAAAATAAGACAAGGGAGAAGTCTTACTAAGGGCTGCCTTTTTAGGCATAGTTCCTTTTTTAAACTTTTTTTAAAAATGAAGGCTAATTGAGGAGAAAATTAAAAGACATAGACTTTAAATGCAGCCTTAAGGAGTTTAGTTTAGATGAAAGTTTTTCCTATCCGTATGGAGTTGGAATAAGAGGTTTCCATATTTCTCTTTTTGGGAGATTAAATGGTGCTTCGAATAGGTCCCATGTGTCAATCCGTGGAAGCCCTTCCTGAAATGGGAGAGGGATGAATTAGATGACCTTTCATGGTCTTTGGTCTTTTTCTCTTTCTCAGAACAATTAGCCCTCAGCATTTGATATAACACACTGCCTCCAGAGCGCTGAAATAAGAGAGAGGAGACACTTCTGTTTCTTGAAAAGTTTTATTTGGTTTATTCAGTCATAAGCATACATTCTTCTTAAGACTATAAAAGTCTTCTCCTCCAAACAGTTAACTTTTTATTGGAAAAAAAGCGCACAATTTGAAATAGCCACCTATTATTTCAATCAATTGTGCAAAGAAAGTAAATTCAGATTATGTATTGCTACCTCTACTCATGTTATTAATATGAATACATAGAATGCACTTGGCCTGGTAAATAGTTTGCAAACCTCCACAAGCCTTTGAATTCGTTTTATTTGAAAAGTAAAATAACATCATCCTCACTCGTATTTCCCAGGGATTAATCACTTCTTCTAAGCATTCCCCATTGCCTCCCATTGCTCTTAGCTTTAGGAGAAAACAAGTACCTGCTTTGGGTCCACTCAGCAGCATCTTCCTCATTCTCTGCCTAGGACCCAGATTCCCATGAAAATAAAACAAGCTGGGGGACAAAATTAGAGCAAGGAAGTCTGTTCTGGCCCTGCCTCCAGATTCAAATCAGGTCTTTTTTCCTGGTGACCTAGTCAGGTCCCCCAGGTCCAGTAGGGCTTCATTTTAGGCAAAGTCACTATTGGTACTCTTGGCTTCGTCATCACACACATTCAACAATATTCATTCATTGAGTAGATATCAAAATTGAAACTTTCCTATTTTGGGTTGGTAACAGAAACCTCCATTTCCAATGTCTCCAAATGTTTACTGAATAAATGGATTGTGGTTCTAGAACCAGATAGGGTGAAGACTTTGAGTTGCTGAGAACAGTGACTAAAGAAAACCTCTCACTGAGACACGAAGCACTTTTCTTCCTCAGGATGGACTCCTGGTTCTGTCCTGCTAAGCAAGGGCATGGTCAAACTGCCCTTTCTCCAGGCCTTCAAGTCCGTCAGCCCAGGTCGAGGTTGGCATGCTCCGATACGGGTCCAAAAGAATCCGGAAGCACCTGACAATGAGGATGCCCAAGAAAATAAACAACAAAATCACAAAAACAAATGTGGTTTTCTGCTCCAGAGACATGCTAGAATCTGATGACATGTTCCCAAGGGGCACCAGGGGAGAAGGGACTGGCTGTCCTCCATCCATCGTCCAGGGATGCTGGAGCACGGGGTCTCCCGGCTTCTTTCTCTTCCATCATCAGCCTGCCGAGATCATGGTGGCTGCACCTTGGAGAGGCTTCAGAGAGAAAGGAAGGGAAGGAGAGGGAGTAAACATCAAAGGGCAACTTTATTTCTAGGCTTACCATCCTATTTTTCAGAGAGAAGATGCAATTGCTAAGCTTTTTCAACAGGGATGCTTAATTCCATATAACTATGGGGAAGAATATGTTACTCTTGCATGAAATTACCAGACTGTTCTCAGGGCAGCCACCTGGGGCCAGGAGGGATGGGCAGGAAGGGCAACCAGAGTACAGAAGGTGAGAAATGTACAAGCTAATGTTGACCTCAGGTGTGTTGCCAACTTGACATCCAAACCCAGCCTCCCTGCCAAGTCTCTTCCAGATTCCCTCCAGTAATAATACTCTCACATCATTCTTATTATGAGACCATTGACTGGACACCAGCTGTGTGCCAGGACTGAAGATAGCCACTCTACCACAGCCTCCATGAAAGCAGGGATCTCTGTAGTATGAGGAAACTGAGGCTGGAAAAGTGTTAGCCACTCAGTCGTGTCCAGTTCTTTGCGGCTCCATGGACTGCAGCCCACCAGGCTCCTCTGTCCATGGGATTCTCCAGGAAAGAATACGGGAGTGGGTTTCCATTTCCTTCTCCAGGGGATCTTCCCGACCTAGGGATCAAACCTGGGTGTCCTGCATTGCAGGCAGATTCTTTATTGTCTGAGCCGGGCTGGAAAAGGTGCTCAATATAAAAACTCTCTCAAGGAGCATTGGGTTCGGGTCTGCAGTCTCTAGCCTCCCTGTTACTGTGTGCGGGGCCTTGAAGAGGGCACTAAGCTGGAAAGATGAGAAGTAGAAATTGATGCGTGCTATCTTACGGTGCTACCATGAAGATGGATGTCAGGGGAAACCTTTGAAAAGCATACGAAGATGAAAAGCAAGGGAAACAAAGTGTCGCTTCACTGAAGACAGGACTAAGGAAGCTACCATGCTCCTCCTTTGCTCTCTCTGGCCTGGGCCAAGGGAGAAGGGAGAGGTCTCAGACTCCCAAACCATTAAACTCCTGCTGCTTTTTCTCTTTTCATCAAAAAACCAAAACCTGGTTCAATACTTGATCCTGGAAAGGACCTGGAGAACCGAGCTTGGGAAAAGAAATTGATTGCATTTTTTAAAAGCCTTACAGCAGCTTCCTACTGTTTGTTTAAGATCATTTGGTGAGAGGAAGAGAAAGAAAGAAAGATTATCACTATTTCTACTTTGCTAGTAGAAAAACTAAGGTGTATGGATATTACTGTTTGCCTTTAAAGGCATATTGAAGTAGACACCAAGGCCAGTGAAAGCTTCATATATTGAACTAAATCTATTTAAATCAAATTTGATGAAGAAAAGCACTTACATTAGATATTACTATATAGGTAAATCATAGGACATATTTATGAATCTGTAAAAAAAAATTACATAGTCATCTATGGAAATTACTATGAATTCAAAAAAAAATTATGCTCAATGAAAATAAGCAACCAAATAAAAATAGAATTATGGCCTAAAGGATTAACATAGTATTTCTTCAGTTAATTTATAATCATTGTCTTGAGGTATAAAACTAGTGAGCATGACAGCAGTTTGTATATATGTTGATACTTCAAAGTTTATAAAATCACAGTTTAAAAACAGTTTATAAAGGGAATTACAACTGGTATCTGGGAGGAAGGCGTTACCAGTTTAGGGGAAATAATATTCGGCAGTTCCTTGACTCTGAATTTTTTAAAGGTTGAAATAGTTGCAGGAGATTCATTTATGATTCATTTTTATCTTAAAATACAATTGGAATAAAATTTGACTGTTTTTTAAAAACATCTCTTTAGGAGTATAGAGGATATTCATGGATCGGGCTTGGTTTGCTTGTTTTTAAGCACCCCACCAGTCTTGGGTGCTAATTCTTAATAGGAACTGAAGAGCGGACGGGAAAGGTAGCCAAGGCAGCTCTCCCTGGTGCTTCCAACTAAGGACATCCATGCTGCTGCTGCTGCTAAGTCGCTTCAGTCGTGTCCAGCTCTGTGCGACCTCATAGACGGCAGCCCACCAGGCCCCGCCATCCCTGGGATTCTCCAGGCAAGAACGCTGGAGTGGGTTGCCATTTCCTTCTCCAATGCATGAAAGTGAAAAGTGAAAGTGAAGTTGCTCAGTCGTGTCCAACTCTTAGTGATCCCATGAACTGCATCCTACCAGGCTGCTCCGTCCATGGGATTTTCCAGGCAAGAGTACTGGAGTGGGTTGCCATTGCCTTCTCCGAAGGGCATCCATACCCACACCAAACACCCAAACTGGACTTAATCATACCAAACAAAAAATTCTCCAAAACCTGGGTCAAAAGAAAGCCTTCTGGTGATAGAGGAATAGATGCCTAAGCTGTGCTAAGCTCAGCTGTGTCTAACTCTTGCGACCCCAGACTGTAGCTTGCCAGGCTCTTCTCTTCTTGGGATTTTTCAGGCAAGAATACTGGAGTGGGTTGCCATTTCCTCCTCCAGAGTATTTTCCCAATCCAGGGATTGAACCCTCACGTCTTGCACCTCCTGCATTGGCAGGCGCGTTCTTTACCACTGAGACACACCATGTTGCCTCTTGTCTTTTCATGTCCGACTGATCCCTGGCCTTCCCACTGGCTTACTAAAATCCATTTTACTATGTCCATTTTCCCTCTGGCCCAAGTGAAGCCAGAGCCATTTTCTTTGTCTGTTCTTTAACACAGCCAAGACAGATTTGCATTTTTAGGAAAATTTTGTTTATGAAAACACTATATAATGCAAAAGGGAAATAGAAGAAAAAAGAGGACCATTAACTGTGTAAATTTACAACACAAAGTTTGCTAGATCTGCGAAGTTCAATGAAAACAGTGGAGAAGTGGATATAGAACCTTTTGAGGCTGTATTAATGACTCCCTAGGCATGAGCTGTCTGACTAATATAGCAATACCTTTTCAGTTCCTTGTTTCTCACCCCTGGTCTTCACTTTGCTATCATGATGAGCACCATGATGACACCCTGGACCAGTCTTCTCCAGCCTTGCTTGTCCTTTGTACAAGGCAAAGTATCAAGTCCTTTTCTCTTAGCTAAGCATCCTATAATTCCTAGGCTTATCCCATAACTCAGGATTTAGAATGGGTACACCATTCATTTGAGGGATGCAGTGATGGGCAACCATTCCAAGAAGCCCCAGTAAACAACCTAGTCATTTCAATTGAGATCATCAGTGATATCTCTGTATACATGAGTCTGGGGCCTTGCTTCTTCACAGGAAAGCCAACTATTAGAATGTCTTAACACAGTTTTAATTTGCAATTTTACCATGCTATGCTGATTAAAAGGCAGATCTAAGGATTTAGTTAACCCTCTTTGCAACCTGATCAGGTGTTTTGAGAAGCCTGCTAAAATATAAATATATATATTTTTGTTCTCTGAGCGTTTCACCACCAACCCCTTTTAGATATACCAAACTGAGGAGACAACAGAGATGAAAGCATTTTGAGAACTCTAAAGATCTTTACAGACTGTAAGCCTCTGCCCTCCCAGAATACTATGATGCCCAAGTTCCTATTAAAATAACTTCATTTGGTCAAATCATCACAGGTCTCTATTAAAGTGCAGTATTTTACCAGGGAAAATGACACATTAACACTCTGGCAGGGATTTGTCTTTGAGTACTGTTCCTGTTTGGAGGAGGAAGAAAAGAGGTAGATAGAAAGGAAATTGAAGGAAGATCCTGCTGGGAGCAAGGGGCTTCTAGAGGGACTTGCAGGAACCAGACTTGGGGGCTCTGAGCTGATGGTCCAGAGGGAGAGTCCTGGGGAAGGATGAGGGACAGTGGGTAGAGATGAGAAGAGGAAATGGTTATGAAGGGAGATGGAGATCCAGAGATTCAGAAAGAAATGCCAACTATTTCCCAGTTTTGCCTGGAATTATTTGAAATCCCTAGACGAGCCTGCTTGATTTTAAACCTGCAATCAACTAATCAATAATTTACAAATTTGGAAAGCTCAACAGCATGTTTAAGCTAAAGTGTAAGATGCAGAAATCATCAGTGTAAGAGGCAGAAATAGAAAAAAATGTAATCACTTGGCCACCACAGTACAAGAATATTCAAAAACATCCAAATTTTGTAAGTGCCTGAGAGTAAAGTGTCCCTTTTTTGGTAGAAATAATTCTTAGGGAATGGTCACAATTCCTTTTGCCTAAACAATAAAAGGTTCCTTTCAGATGAATAGTGGAATGTGGGCAAGTAAATTATTTTGAAAGATTTTGACGCAACCATTATCAGCATTAATAACAACAAAAGGCAGTTATTTTAAGAAGGACCAGAGTTACTCACAGCAGTATTTTAATCCTGACTGGCTTTCCCTATCACATAGCACACCTGTCTTCCCTTTGCTGGGTCCATTTGTATGTGCTCAGGAAATAAAATCTAATTTTAACATGGACCAAGGAAACCTTAATTGAAAGCTGCCATTTTCAAAAGTCATGTAATACATCCCTTTTCTCAAACTAAGCTCCTTGGACTCTAAGTTCACAAGGTGCAAACACCCTGAATTAGTCACTACGCCCCGTGTGAGGAGTCCATCTCACCCATAGTCATTCTTACTGTCAGCCACTCACTCTAGTTCGTTTGCAGAGAAACCCTCTCTTTCTTACCCCATACTTCCTCTATACTGCGTCATGATTCATCTTTCTAAGCTCAAATTTAACATTCCTCCCCTCAGAAAACCCTTGTACTCCAATATCCAAGACCCTCATCAACCTCTTAACCCTCTTGTGGACCTGATACACCTGTTCTCTGGACCACAAATTAGATGGCAATCTGTCAGTGGAATTTTTCTGAGGTCTGACTATATTTTCAAAGTAAGTTCAGAAAGGAACAAAGATCGAGTCACATTTGGTTTTGAGCAAAATGACCAGTGGACAAGAAGAAACTTACA